CTCGGGCGGGTTTTCAGCCCGCTGTGGCTCGAGGCCATGACCAGTGCCCTCCGGCAGTGCCCCGAGAACGGGTAACAAGGGGGATAAAGAGGCAAAGAACAGGTGGCTGGGGGGGGAGGGGGAGGCCTGGGGGGTGTTTCGCTGCAATTACCAGGCACAGCACTGGGGGAGAAGGTGCGCAAAGGCACCAGAACATGTTGCAGGTACGTCCGGCGGTGTCCTGGCCGGCCTCGCGGGGCTGAGGCAGTGTCTCCCTTTGGTCACACACGTCCACGTCAACCTGTCACCCTGTCGTCTCCCGTGGCTCGCAGGGACTTGTTCTTCCTCATTTCCCTGGAGTGGAAAACTGATCTCCAAATGGTTCTAAATGTCCACAGTTAGATCAGGAGGAAAAAAGCATGACTAGTCAGTGCAGGTGGGCAATGGCCAAAAGGGCAAACTCCTCCCACCCACACAACCCACTGATGGGAGCCTGTTGCTCAGGACTGTCCCCTCTCAGCCCCACAGTCCTTCGCCTGTCACACGGGGCACCGTGTGTGTCGGGTCACTTCAGGGAAGAGCAGGTCCTGTCTTGTAGGCCTGGACATCCAGACATGAGGGACACGCAGCTCAGGGCAGGGGGCTGCGACTGCAGAGCCCAATCCATGGCCAAACACGTTAGTCATGTGGTGGAAGAGAGCTGTGCTTCAGCCACCTGGCTTTTTAAGCAGTCCTGAAGGCTTGAATAAATTCCCAATAACAGTTAAGCATTAACTTGCTACTACTTAACCTGTAAATAACAGCGTGGCTGGTTCCCTTTGTGGTCGGGCTGCTGGGGAAGGCTCTGAGCAGTTTTGCTGAGTGAACACCCAGTGCTGAATTAGGGATGTTGAGATGCATAATGAATAGTGCACAAATACTAAAATGCTACAAAATAAACAAAGCTGATAGACTTTGCTATGGACCAGTTCACCTGGGATAAGAGGCACATGGAGTGTGAGAAATGAGCCTGAGCTAAAAACCCTTGGAGCTGCAATTCCAGCATCAGCTTACCTTGACTGAAGGGATGAATTGGGTGGGGAGGAGAAGCACCTGCTGGCAGCCCCAGGAAGCTTCTCAAGATAACGTATCTCAGGTAAAGTGGTTTCTTCTGGAGACTCACACACCTTTTCTGTCTTTTGCCTGCTCCCTTTCAGGAATTCTGAGATGCGGTGTGTGCAGGGAGCTGCTGTTCTTCCCCAGAGATGCTGGAAAGCATTCCCACGAGGTGTCTTGGGCTGACAGGAGCTCTCACACTGTGCCCTGGTAAGGCTCAGAAAAGCTAGTGACTGATCCAAGTGCACCCAGGAACACTAATGTGCAACCTTCTACTCTGGAGAGTGGTGGGGTTTGAAAGCTGGAGGAACTTTCCCCTTCACTTCAGCTGGGTTGACCAAGAGAACACACAGTAACCCAACACTGTGAAATTACACTCATGTTTTCTGAGTCTCAGAAGACAGGCCATAAAGTAAAAGGGGAAGAGAAATGTCTGCCTGGCTCCACAATTCCCCCTGTGCTCAGCACCTGGAGTGCTGTGCACCTCAATTCCAGAGAGATCTCGAGGTGCTGGAGCAAGGAGAGGAGGCAACGGAGCTGGGGAAGGGCCTGGAGAATCAATCTGATGAAGGACACTTGAAGGAGCTGGGAATGTTTAGTCTGAGGCAGAGGAGGCTGAGGGGAGAGCTCATCAGTCTGTGCAGCCACCTGAAAGGTCATTGCAGAGGTTGGTGCTGGTCTCTTCTAATTAGTGACAGAGCAAGAGGGAAGGGCTTCAAGCTGCACCAGGGCAGGTTTAAGCTGGACATGAGGAACATTTATTCCCAGGAAGAGTGTTCAGACCCCGGAACAGGCTGCCCAGGGAGGTGGTGGAGTCACCATCCCTGGGTGTGCTGAAGGGTTGGGATGTGGTGTTGGTGGAGGTGGTTTAGGGGAGAGGTTTGTGGAGCAGGGATGGTGGTGGGACTGGGGGATCCCACGGGGCTTTTCCAACCCGAATGGTTCTGTGAGTCTACGATACAGGGTAACAAATTGCTGCCTAACCCTGCCCTTGTGATCTGCCCTCGAGCCTGGCAAAAAACCCCCAAAACAAACAAAACAAAACCAAAACACAAACCCCAGCGGGGAAACAAAAAACACCCTGGAGCGGCTCCCCCAACTGCC